TTTGAATGTTGTTCATTTCTACCGTTTCAAGAAAACGTTTGATTGAAGCGACCAACCGTTTAATTATGTCTCTATCCGTTTAAACGTTTTGTTGACGTTTTTACGCATCCGTTCGAATGGTTTAGGAAACCGTTTTATGATTTGAGGAAATCGTTTAATTATTTTGCTCATCCGTTTAAACGGTTGCTCAAACCGTTTTAACGGTTTGAGCAACCGTTTAAACGCTTTTGATGGCCGTTTTCTATCCGTTTGTTTACCGTTTTTTCAGGCCGTTAAACGGATATCCGTTAGTGTATGTTTTCCCAAATCAGGTCACATTTTTATCAATATGAAATTTCCATTTTTTATGTTTTCTGTAACGTTTTTACTTTGGGGATCTAAAAGTCCGCACTAATTAAACCATAAATACTACAAACGAAACTATTTTTCTCTAAATTTTTTAAACGATATGTTGGGCCGAAAGATAAGCAGAAACAGCCTGAAACATGATAATGTAATTACAAATGACAGTAACGGTAGGAAATCACAGGTTTAGCTAAACTTCTGCTTTGTGAGCTTTCATTCTCATGAGAGAAAATGTGAACTACACACTTGGTTGACTACTCCTGGTAAACTTGAACAACACAATTAAAATGAAAAATAGCCTGTGACTTTGAAAGGAGTATTAATAGCAATGTGTTCGAGTTTCTGCAGTTCTTTGCAACATATACTTAATTTCGTTAAGTAATGTAATTTACAACCACTCATAAAGCGAAAAATAAAATAGAAATTTAACATGAAAAGCAGTTATCAATCAAAATACCCCGCTTTTCAGTTCCTTCTAACAAAAGTACCACAGTTAGTGTTTTCAGTCAAGTTTAAATACATTGTTTTCATTTTCAAAGATTTTAAGTTGCTTGATCTGTAACACTAAAAGGCGTGCCCAGTTTTGCCAATAGGCTCCATTACGCAGATAATGCTGTACCTTTCAAGCCACAAGCCATCCTTTTGAGCACGCCACTTGAAACTTATTACTTTTCGTCTTACTACAAAGAAGACCTCCAACTTACCGTCATCTTGGTCAATTTGTAATACTGCTTTTCACCCACAAGTTGAATCTGCTTGGAATTCTTCATAATACAATAGTAATAATCTTGTAAGAGTTCCCGGCCAAATAAGCATCAGTGAACTACAAAAGATAACCTTGCTAGGCACAGCACACATTTTGAGGAGGGTGCTATCAAGCTAAAAACTGGCTATCCCCTAGTGCCTCAGGACCATGGTCTGGTCTCGGCCCTAAGGACTCTAAGCAAACATTACGTGAGGATGATAATAATAATAATAATAATAA